TTTTAGTGGTGGGGATGGAGATTTGGCGTTTAGACAATCTATCAACAGCTACCCAAATGTTATTAAACCCTCGTTTGTCTGGTACCCCCACATCGTGAAAATCCATCGATATATCATCCCATGTACGTTCTGGAATGGCTAAAGGCTGTAGTAAGCCCGGTGTCTTGTCTCTAGGCTTATGCGATCGTCGGCAGACATGGCAGTTCTGCACATAACGCTCGATGTCTGCTGCGTATCGTGGCCACCAGTACCGGTCGCCGATTAGTTTCCTCATTTTGTTTCGTCCTGGATGAGCGGTGGACGTAGATTCGTGGATCATCTTCAACACTTGAGTACGGAGATTGTCTTTGGCTGACACCACCACGCGTCCCTTATGAAGCACCAACCCGGTAGGTTCCAAAGAATAAGGTTCTTCCCGCTGTCGTGATTGCTGGCGTAGATCCTCGAGATCGGGATCTGCTCGGTTGGCCATGAAAATACGATCAATAGTATCCAGATCCTCGTCAATGGGCGCTAACACCTTGCTGTCATGTGGCAACGTAACTTTCTTTTGAGGGAGGAGGATTTTCGTACGTTCCAGTTCTTTTGCAGCTTTTTGTGTAGGGGTAAGTTCTTTCTTGCGAGATAACGCGTCTGCCAGAATATTTTCCTTGCCTGGTCGGTACTGAAGGTCGAAACTGAATTGCGATAGCACCTCTGACCATCGGATTTGCCTATCGTTGAGTAGCTGCTTCTGACCAAAGTATTCCAGAACTCGGTGATCAGTCAGAATCACGAACGGCTCCCAGGTGCTGGTGAGCTCTGCGCGCCATTCTTTCAAGCATTGGATGATAGCTAACAGCTCCTTATCATGGATCTCATAGTTTGCCTCCGGACCAGTCAAGGTTCGGGAGTGAAAAGCCACAGGATGCCACACGCCTTCCTCCTGCAATTGACTGAGTACTCCTCCTGTTGCTAGATCAGAACAATCGGTCTCTATACGTGTAGGCTTCTTCTGATCGAAGTACAGTAAAATGGGTGGGCTGACCAATTTCTCTTTCAGGGCAAGGAACGCTTCTTCAGCTTGCTCGGTCCATTGGAACAACTGGCCTTTTGGGATTGCTGTCAGGTTGTACAGTGGCTTAGCGATCCGGGAGAAATTCTCTATAAAGTTACGGTAATAGTTGCAGAACCCCAAGAAGGATTGAATGGCAGTCTTGCTAGTAGGTCTCTCCCATGCGCGAATACTTTCCAGCTTCTTCGGGTCTGGCAGGAGTCCGGAAGTGTTAACAATGAAGCCCAGAAAATTAACAGATTTTTGATTAAAGCGACACTTCTTAATATCCACCTGCAGTCCAGCCCTGTCCAAACGCTGAAGGACCTCGCGTACTTCTGCCACGTGTTTACTTTTATCTTCAGAGTGGACGCATACATCATCCATATATGCGGAAACGTAACGAGCGAGCAGATCGCCTAGGACCGAATTGATATATCTTTGGAAAGTGGCCGGGCCACCTGACAGACCAAAAGGTAACACGCGGTAACGGTATTGACCGAATCGAGTACGAAACGTAGTCCATCCCACGGAGTCTGGATGCATCCGGATACGGTTGAACGCATGGATGACATCTAGAATGGTGAATTTCTTAGAACCAGCCATCTTGGCTAATGTCTCACCAATGAGGGGCAGAGGATAGCGATCTTTCCGCGTGTGTGCGTTTAATTTCCGATAGTCTACACAAAATCGAAGGTCTCCATTCTTTTTCTTGACAAACAAGACCGGGGAATTGAACGGAGAATCGCTGGGTTCGATGAACCCGTTCGCCAGGTTCTCCTCGATGTAAGCATGTACGGTATCTAGCTCTTTCTGATTCATTTTATAGAGGGGAGCTTGCTTGAGCTCAGGCTCGCTATCCAGATTGATCTTATGGTCGAACTCCCTATGCGGCGGCAATTCCTTTGCGCGTCTTTTGGAGAAGACATGGGCAAGATCGTGATATTCAGGAGGTAATTGGGCCAACAATTGTGTCTTCTCTTCTTCTTCAGCGAGCTCCGCAATGTGCGCAATCTCTGTACCGTCGCAAGCGGTTTCCATTTCTACGAACCAGCATTGGTCTTCCGCTTCAATTGTCTCAACCTCGACGGCTGAAAGCGTAGGTGTGTCCATTTCGTCTAGACCCAGATCCTCCTTTTTCTTATCGTAGGCTTCTTGTCGCTCCTGCAGTGTAGGCCGGGGAGTCAGAATAATTGAAGGGGTCGCCGGCGCTTCTGCTACCATTGCAGGGCGTTTCAATATCTGCTTTGGCATAAAATGTGGAGATCTTTTAGCAGGAGGTTTGTTGATTTCTAGAGGGGGCAGTTCAATCAGTCGGTCACGACGGTTAGCGTCCCACTGATGATCATTGCGGTCTTCTGGCCACCACAGCCGGTGTCGCACGCAATCTGGGAGTACGTTATGATAGGCCAGCCACTGCCGACCGAGGATCACATTGTTCTTGTTACCAAGTGTGGTAGCAAAGAACGGCATGTTGACTCGGTGCGAGTCTATAGTCAGTGTCATCACGTAGGCATGGCGTAGAGGTCGGGATGATCCGCCGTCGAAGCCTCTGATAGAGAGTGGATGACGGAGATTGTAGCGCGTCATCTTAATCTTACTATTTCGGTACCAATCACGCAGTTGTTTACGATCTGCGAAGGCATATCCATTAGCGCCGGTATCAATGAGGGCAGAGATTGGAAATTGGGAATTGTTTTTAGTTTCAAGAGTACAATCTATAACTAATGGCCTTCCGCCAAACAAATTTTCCAAATCAATGCCATTTACTCGATATGTGTTATTCTCTAGGAAGGCGACTTCTCCTCGGGACAATCTTTTCCCTCATCGGAGCTCATGGTGAATTCCGATCCAGATGCTTCAGCTTCCTCCTTCTTCTTCGCATCCACCTCATTGACTTTAGCAGTAGGACACGCGTTAGCGTAGTGACCAGTCTTGTGGCAATGGAAGCAGACACCAGCGTTTCGGGCCAAGACTTTTGGCTTGGGTGGACCAGACGCTCTTGGAGGTGCAGTACGAGTTAGGCCCGGCGGGAGAATTGGCTTCTTGTACCTGTCCTTGCGTTGTTGGTAGCGAGCGGCTTGATCCTCCGATTTGCGCGCTAATTGCAGGTGTGGTTCTATTTTCAAGCAGTGTTGAGACATCTCCAAGGTAGATTCAAAATCCAATCCGGCTATGACATTTTGCAACTTGGGACTCATCTTTTCGCGAAGTTCATCCATGCGGTCTTCGTCTCTAAGTTGCAATTGAGAAGCGAAGGTCAGGAACTTAGTGAAGAAGGCTGAGAAGCTGTCATCCCCTTGTCGGAGTTTCTTGAAGTTGGCATGAGCTTCGGAGCGCTTCTGTCCTCGGGTCTTGCCGTAGGCTCCTCGCATAACTTCGACAATAGACATCGCAACAGTGATGTGGTTGACGCTTTCTGGCTCGAGGTAGGGTTTTATGAATTCCTGTGCATCACCACCAATAAAGCCCAAGAGGTAATTGATCTTGTGGTTTTCATCATCAAAGTAGATCGAGTCGCCGTTCAACTTGCGCTTAACAGCGTGTTCCCAGTTCTCGAAAGTAGGATTATGGGAACCCATGAAGGTGGGTGGGTTCTCAATCTTCTGGCGGTGGCGGAGTTGCTTAGCCTGTGGGTCACGGACCTCTTTGTATCTTGGTGGTATCTCTGAGGCCTCACAGCCGGCAGCGTCTTTCTCAACAGTGTTATAGGCTGCAGATCCTCGCACCGACTTGGATTCCTCCTTCTGCTTACTCTTATCCTTGGCCTTGAGATCTAGAGTGACCTCTGCGAATGCAGCCTTCCAGCGCTCAGCTTCCTCCGCCCAGGATTGTGCCATTTTCTCTGCCTCTGCCTTCTGCTCCAATGTATCTCGAAGGTAGTTGCTGATGTTGTTGGCGCAATCAGCCAGGGCGGTACACATAGTCTTAAGGGTATGTTCGTGACGTTCTTGATCAGTCTCCTTCTTGACTTCAGCAGCGCGGCGTTTGTTTCTCTTGTTGTAATCCTTGTCCAACAATTCAAAAGTGACTTTCTGATACCATGGAACATCAATCTTCGTAGTGAGGTCCTCCTCTTCCCCGGGTGCGCGGGTGGCGTACACCGAGGTTGTGAAGTCTTCCTTCGCCCACTCTCCTGGCATCTTCTGCTTTCCTTTATTAGCGAGACAATTAGCCAATGACTGTCCAGATAATCGTGAGCGAAACGCTGTCCACAGATTACTGAGTCTGAAATTAGTATTTTACCTCTCTACAGAGGTCGCGTTGAGTAGTTTAGGGAGCCTAGTATTATGTCACGGCGTAGAATAGGCACAAGTGAAAGTACAGCTTGTATGGCGATAATTCAATCTGTGAAGCAAATACTAAGCTGGAGAAGAATAGAAAAGAACAGGATCTCATTACAAAAAGCCCTGAGGCTATTCCTATTCGGGCGGGTTTCCACTAAATCGCCGCGTCCGTGCTCCTTCCTGCATCAGCCATCAGTCTCACATCCTCCCTCCACGTAATTGTATATCATGGCGGAGCAGAATGCCGTGCCGTGACAGAGAGCTTGGAGTTTGTAGGGCACATCAGTGATAGGTGTTGAGATTACTTCCTTCAAATGCCAAGTTCTCGTGCGGAATCTATCAATAATCAACCATAGGAGTCGATTCACTTGATAATAGTAGTGGCTGGCGCCAAGAATACCCGTTCAAATGCCTCATAGTATCAGTAATATATGACACCAAGGCCAGTCCTTGCAATTCCTTTTATCTCATCCTATGTCCCCTTCAGAATATTATTCCTCCCCAATCTGCAAACAGCTTTGTCCCTCATACAATTTCGATAAACCTTCCCAAATAAGAAAACCTATTGAATATCTTGGAGACAAGATTGTCTCAAGGACAAACTTCCTGCCACTCAAATACAGCCAGCTTTCACACAATTGCATCAGAAAATCACAGGATTCTTCAGGAGCACCACAAAAATGAGACCTTTCCAACTTTTGTCTGCTATTGCAGTATTCATTGGTTTGGAGACAGTAGAGGCTGCAGCTTATTGGAATTGTAATGGTACTCCAATTCCAGATGATAAGGTTCGAGATGCAGTAAATTTGGCCTTTTATTATGCACCAGGATCTTTTCATGATTACCCCTCAGTTTCTAGCGCAAGATATCGAGGGGCTGGAAGAAAGCAAGTACGACAGTTTCCACTAACAACTTCTATTGGAAACTGGCAAGGTTCGTTATTTGTTTCTATTTTAACAATGAAAATATGCTAATAATGTTGGTAGGAGGAGAAGTAGACTTCTATATTTTGACTAACATAGATGCGTCTTTTCTCGAAGTTTTTTCATCAAAGGGAACTGGCCATAAGTGTACATATTTTGAAGGCTAGGCCGGTCTGGTTGTGGCCGAGCTAGGCTATTTGTTGCTGTAAGGCTCATTATTATTTCTTAGGCACAAGAGAGTTTATAAATCTTCTCACTAACCGAGAGAATTAACAGATCAAGTGTGAAAGTGCAGGACATCTGGAACGGGATCATAGCTATAAAGCGTCATAGCCTCCCACTTACAAATTTTCCATAGGAAATGTAAACATTTAAATGCGGCAACACTTCTGTGCACTGGCCGAAAGTCCTAGCCTGTCGCAATGTTACAGGATCTGGTGCACAATCTCCTCCAATTCACTGTTTGCAGCTCATTTAATGTTGATCTCAGGGCAGGCTTATTCATACACCTGTAAAATAACTTTCTAATACTGATATTCCTATGATGTATTGTAGTTATTCTTGTGTTATCACGATTCTTATCATAGGTGGATCTCATTGAAACGGAGTCACAAGCAGATCGGAGATACATGAGGACTGTGACGGGAAACCCGAGTTGGTGATGATAATATCAATTTAATAAACTGTATAAGGAGGAAAGAGGAATTGAGCTACAACTAACGAGTATTTATAACATTCAGCCCCTCAGTGATTGTCTTGACTGATTTCTTCACCCTAGGCCGAATACTTGCCACCCAGCCACATATTATCAAGAATCACTACGCTGTGACACTGATCTGGCCCCTTGGCTGGTAGTGCCGTATCTTCCAGTTTCCTCTATCATTTCCTTAAAGTCTTACAACATGAATCCTCAACAATATGCTTAGGTATCCACATAAGCTCAGACAATGGTCAAACCGTAACAAGGACAAAGTAAGGGCAGGAGTATATTAATAAGACGTTGCACAATCTATTCTAGAGTGAAACTTCTTACTTATACTTAATTCCTATGCTAGCATCAATAACATAACCAAGCAGGATGATTGTCCGTCATGTGACTTATAGGTCTGGTCATAAGCGAGAACCGTAGGTACCATGACAGTAGGTCCCCTTCTGAGCCTGTTGTCTCAACAGTGTCTGGAAATAATCCTCTGTTTAAGCAGTACAAGAGCTTCTTTTTGTGTTATGAATCTACTTATTGGCAGATTTTCGAAGCTGTTAAGCTGCAGAGGTCGAGTCGAATTTGACAAAGACAAATTATCGAAGGTTCGAGGTTACACAGTTACAAAGGTCGAAGGTGCGAAGGTACAAATGAAAGTAATCGAGGCTCGCAATATCAAAGGTTACGAACTCATATGTTCAGATTATCATGTTATCAAAACATAGAGTTCCCAATAAGCAAATTATACAATAAACATAAAAGTTTGTCAGAGCTAAAGAACCAATTAAAATTTCCAGCCTGAACAAATCTAAATCCTGTTGCCTCAGACCTAACCGAATTAAGAAGATAGCCCCTGCATCACCACATCCAGATTAAATCTAACAAATTCATAACATTTCGCCTCAGCTTTAGCATCCATCTGTTCCTTCAAAGTAGGCTTGAGACAACGTCAAAATTTTTGTGATAGTCTGTCAATGACTCTGATAGGTGTCCTGTTACCAAATCTGACAAAGGTTGCCATGAAATTTTTGACTGACCTATATACTTAACACAATATTCAAATCATCGAGAGTACAAATGCCTGGGCCCTAGAATTGCGTCAACCTCATATAAATCTTTGCCAAACTCATCAATTTCTATGGGTGGATTTGGCTCATTTTTTTGACTAGGGACTGGGTTATTAGGATCCGGTCAAACAAGGCTTGTTGTCACGGTTTTCTACAGTCTAAACATAGGCACTTAAGCAACCTCATGGTCAGAGGTAGTTTATGTTGAAGCTTTGTCGTGGAGTGATAGATATGAGAGTGAGGTTTATGGGTCACAATGTATGAGATAACTGAGGTGCGGATGTATGAGTTCCTTACTATTGTTGTTGTACTAGTTAGGGTTGTATTGTCTACATACATAAAAGGATTTCTCCATCTACAAGTGGGCCAGATCGCTTAGATCTGGCTAGCGGCTTTCGCCATCCTCTTCCTTCTCCCCTGCATGGCATCACGTGCTATACAACTACTGCTCACCATGAAGTCCGAGGATGAAAAGCGTTAGATTACAACAGTTTATTTTCAATCTATGGTGAACTACAGACTAAAGAGGATAATAACAGCTATCTTACACATCATTATTATCCCTACCAATGATACAGTTTCCCATACGCGTTCCCATATTCCGTTCTCGTATCTTGCTCTTTGGTGTTGTAATGGAAGTTATATAGAGAAGCTTAAGCTGTTAGTATTGTATACAATATCACCTAGTGGAGCGAGTTGAGAGATTGAAGAGTCTTAAAACTATAGTGGAGATTTGTTAACTAAACCCACTTAGTATCAGAGCACTATTTAAACTAATTACTACATCTAAGTGAAGGACACGATTCACTTGTTTATGCTAAATAATTGGGAGGCTGGTCAATGTATGAGTCGTCATGAATGTGGCTAGTAATAATAGAACCTTATTACGTTCCGTATTAATGCAACTCTTTATTGCCAAGTTGCGCCAATTTCAACATTTGGCCCTCTTCTCGCGCCTCGTCCTTGAGGTTTCATGATGATCTGAGTGACACTAGGAAGCCCCTGCTTCCGAGAATAGGTTTGCGCTAAGCCTGCGTTAGACAGCGCAGGCTACAGGCAAACATCGGCTTACCAGCCTTCACACAGTTTCAGTACAAAATCAATGGGCAATCTTGTTAGTACTGTACATTAGTTATAATTCTCTGGGGAGAGAAGTCCTGTAGCTAAAATACCAGTATTTATACAATCTAAAATAAATCCCTTCTATAAGATTCCTTGTATAACCAGAAATGTTTGGAAACTTTGACAACTCCCTGGAAGATTCTCGATACTCTTGTCATCCTCATGAACCTTCAGTATGCTTCCGGAAGGTTCATTGGGAATCTTCCAAGCTCCATGTATTTCGAGATCCTTCCCAAAGATAACCTTGGTGTTACTGCTAGCGCTAGCTAGCATAGGCTTAACAGCCATAACATTTGTGTGAAAGATGGGGCGTATGGATTTAAGATTTTCGGGGAGGAGTAGCTCATAGCTCAAAGCTGTGGCTACTGACCACCCTAAAAATATTGAATGATACCAGATTTTTTCCAATCTAGTTTCTTGCTAGGTCTTTTAGTAATTACATTCTTTGCCTTGACAAAGACTTTATTTCCAATCTGGGATGATGGCAGGGGAGAGCGTTGTTTATTCACATATTTCTGAGATAAGGCTTGAGGTTCCTTAATATTATCACGAACAAATATCTTGAGATTATGTATCTGGTTAATAAAATAATTAGCCAGCTCCTGTTGTATTTGGAGATACTCGGAAGCTGTACTGTATTTGCGAAAAATGGGGTAATCTTTTTGTATTCAGACTCAGAATTGTTAGCATTAAACTTTGCTAAAGGTAGCCATTGAACCCAATCATCTTGCTGATAATTACAGTAGGCTTGGAGGTACTATTGTGGCTATGAGCTATGCAGAAGTCACATTGCGAAGTGATGAGTAGTGGTAGATGTTATATTTAGTGATTGACAGTGAATAGACTCATACAATATTATGCTGAAGGTGTATGGACAGAAAGTGTAAGACTAAACCTGTGTCCATTTATTGTGGGTACAACTATGAAACTATATACATGCTTGCCTAACCAGTACACTTGTGATGTATGCTGCAGCCTTGAGCCACACGCAATGCCCCAGCCTCGATGTTATGAATTTGTTGTAGATAATTTGGATGGGGTGGCGCACGGGCTATTTTGTGAATTTGGTTAGAGCTAGGCGAATGGAGCATAGATTAAGTTGGTTGGAAATTTAGAATTTGCTCCTTAGTTCTAACAATTTTGGTACATGATACACGACCTTGTACCCTTCATTAATCAGAATTCAATGAAGCTAATTGTTCAACTATTCGTGATTAATCCGCTACCTTTCAACCGTCGCCTCGCCGAAACTGACTCGACCTCTGTAGCTTAACAGCTTTGTAATTCAGTCCACAAGTAAGTTCATAACACTCGACTACCTTGTTGTCTCATATCATAACAGGTAGCTGCTGTAATTTGTTGTTAATTTCTGGTCCAAAGCTAAAGCTATTTTTTCCACAATGGGTTAAGTAACGATGTATCTATCAGGGTTCCCTGCAATTTTCCTACAGCCTAAACTCGTTCCAACCTCGTGAATTGCTGCCAAAGGTGCAGCTGATTAATCAGTACACGAAAAATCACGAAAATCAAAACAACTCCGAATAACAAAAGATTCCTCCATGTTGGGCTCAAGCAATGCTTTTCTCACACATTCCCTCGTCTGTCACACCTTCCGAATGAAAAATTTGCCCATCTTCTGCTGAGAGCAAAAAATGGGTTAGCAGGCACCTCTGATCCAGCCGGTATCCTGCTATTGGTTAGAAGTGTTGAAATCTAGACATGCTAGACCGAACTGTACGCAGTGCGGAGTATACGAAGACTACTCATCTTCGATCGCTACCAGCTTTGGTGAGGTCTCGGTTGGTGATGATCTCGGTGGTGTGAATGTTATTCCATCACGTAATCAGAACACAATGTTTCTACCTAAGCGAGGTAGAACATAGATAGACAATTAGATGTAGATTAAACACTGACACTTTTAATTACCGAAATATAAGTTGAGTAAAACCAAAAACCTCACTGATCCTAACCTTTTATCTCTGATCCTTAAATCCCCAATATCTTACGATTCCTACAGTATTGACTTGACGGTCAGCGTTCACTTCTATCATTCCAGATACCCCCTAGAACTTTAATAGTAGATGCTCCAAAAGGGCCATTGTCGAGGTTGCTGTGTCTTCAGGCCTCTACTTTAGATTCCAGCACTCCGAAACCTGTTGCCTCGGCCACTGAGACATCCTTCGCTGCAGCAATGATGGCCTCTTCGGCCCTTTTTGGCTGCTGCTCGAGCTCGTGCCACCTTTGAAAACTTCCCTTGATTGAGGTGGCGAATCCACGC